CAGATTTGAGAATATGTGGTTTCGAGCGGAGAATTCCAGGGGACTGTGCATTCTTGGTGGGAGGAGGATTTGGCGGTGGGTACCGAGTTTTATTTTAGTAGGAAAGCTTCATCTTCTGAAAAATAAACTCAAAAGGTGGAACAAGGAGGTGTTTGGGAATTTGGTGTGGAGGAAGAATAGGGCCTTGGCTGATATTGCTGAGATTGATAGATTGGAAGGGGAGGGTGCTCTTCTCGAGTCTCAACGGGTTAAGAGAGCAGCTTGTCAGGCAGAATGTGTTGAGATTGCTGTTTTGGAGGATATCTCGTGGCGTTAGAAATCTCGGGCCTTGTGGCTTAAAGAGGGTGGCCGTAACACTATGTTTTTCCATGAAACTGCTAATGCTCATAGGAGGGGCAATCATATTGGGCGGTTGTGTGTGGATGGTACGGTTTTGTCTACGGAGGAGGAGGTTTGAAGCGGTATTGTTTCTTTTTATCAAATGCTCTATTCTGAGCCTTTTAGATGGAGGCCACGGCTGGATGGTCTTCACTTTGATGCCATTTCTGAGGCGGATAGGGATGGGTTGGAGAGGCCTTTTTTTAGAGGAGGAGGTGCTGAGGGCTTTGAAGAGTTGTAATGGAGACAAGGTTCCAGGTCCAGATGGTTTCACAATGAGATTTTTGTTGGAAAGCTGGGAGGTGGTTAGACATGAGGTTATGGGCACTTTTCTTGAGTTTCACTCTACCGGGAGGTTCGAAAAATTGTTGAATGCATCCTTTATTGCCCTTATTCCTAAGAAGGGAGGCGCTTCTAACATCAAGGACTTTAGACCAGTCAGTCTGATCGGGTGTATGTACAAGCTTATTGTTAAAGTTCTTACGCTTAGATTGAGGGTGGTTTTGGATGGGGTCATTTCTGAGTCTTAGAATGCGTTTATTGGGGGTAGACAGATTCTGGACTCCGCTCTCATTGCCAGTGAATGTGTGGATTCCAGACTTAGCAGTGATGTTCCGGGTGTTCAATGTAAGCTGGAAATCGAGAAAGCCTATGATCATGTTTGTTGGAATTTCCTGTTTTATCTGTTAGAGAGGATAGGTTTTGGGGAGGGATGGAGGAGATGGATTGTCACATGTGTTTCCTCTGTTCGTTTTTCGGTGTTGGTGAATGGTTCTCCTTCGGGGTTTTTCGGCAGTTCTCGTGGCCTGAGGCAAGGGGACTTTCTCTCCCGTTTTCTGTTCATTATTATTATGGGGGCCCTTAGTAGGTTGATGAGAAGGGCTGTGGGCTCGGGGTTCATTAGGGGCTTCAAGATTGGCCTTACTTCGGTTCAGCAGTTGGAGATTTCCCACCTGCTTTTTGCAGACAATACTCTTGTTTTCTGCTAAGTAGAGGCATCCCAGCTGTGGTATCTGAGATGTGTTCTGGTTTGCTTTCAGGGTGTTTTGGGTTTGAAAGTCAACGTGGGAAAGAGTGTGCTCGTTCCTGTATTCTCTGGCAGCTATTTTAGGGTGTGGGACGCGACGTTTCCCTATTTTGTATTTGGGCTTGCCCCTGGGTGACTCGGCTAGGAGGGTGGGAAGTTGGATTCCGGTGGTTGAGCGGTTTGAGAGAAGATTGGCTGGATGGAAAAAGCAATCTCTCTCTAAGAGTGGTAAAGTTACCTTAGTGAAGAGTTCTATGTCCAGTCTCCCAATGTACTCCCTCTTGCTTTTCCGGATTCCCTCCTCTATTGTTGGAAGACTTGAGATGCTTCAACGGAATTTCCTTTTGGGGGGGGTGGGGGGGGTCGGGGGGTGGAGTTTTAAGTACCATCTTGTTCGGTGGGCACAGGTTTGCAGGTCTTTTCAGTTTGGAGGGCTGGGGATTAGGAGTGACCCCCTTCAACAACGCTCTTCTTGGTAAGTGGCTTTGGAGGTTCGGCAACGAAAGATATAGGTTTTGGAGGAAGGTTATTTCGTGTCGCTTTGGGGAGGAGAGGGGGGGTGGTCAGCTAGGCCAGTCAGGTTTGCTGTCGGTGTGGGTGTGTAGCGTTCCATCGAGAAGGGGTGGGATGAGTTCTCAAAGCATATTAGATTCAGAGTTCGGGATGGAAGGGATGTTCGGTTTTAGGAGGATTCCTGGTGTGAGGATGGCCCATTGTCTCTCTTGTTTCCTAGGCTGTTCAAGATTGCTGTAGAAGCATGCTATGGTTGTTGATTGCTATCATCTTGATAGCGCTAGGTTGTCTTGGGATATGCAGTTCCAGCGATCCTTTCAGGATTAGGAGTTGGATGATGTCACTGGTCTGTTGGCTCTCTTGTATATACAGGAGATGGAGGGCACTGGTGCGGATTCCTTGTCTTGGGTGCCTTTTGCGCAGGGGATGTTTCAAGTCCGGTCCTTCTTTTTCTCTCTCTCTGGGTTTCATGGTTCCACATTCCTGTAGAAGACAGTGTGGTCGTCAAAGGCGCCCCTTAGGGTGGCGTTTTTTGCGTGGACCGCAGCTTGGGGAAAGATCCTGATTTTGGACAATTTGAGGAAGAGAAGGCATATCATTGTCAATCGGTGCTGTCTTTGCATGATTGATGGAGAGTCCGTGGATCACCTTTTGTTGCATTGTTCGGTGGCCCACGACTGTTGGAGTCTCATCTTCGGTCTGTTTGGTGTCCATTGGGTCATGCCCCGGACCACTAGGGAATTGATGGACATTTGGAGGGGTAAATGGGTGGGGGTGCATGCTAGAGACTTTTGGAGGGCGACTCCCCTTTGTGTTTGGTGGAGTCTTTGGAGAGAGCGAGATAGAAGATTTTTTGATGGGGAGGTGTCCTCCATTGGGGCACTGAAATTGTGGATTTTTTGGGCTCTTTGAGTTCATAGGTCTTTTTCATTTTTTTTTATGGTTTGTGTACAGCTCTTGGGACGCGTTCTCCTTTTGAACGCCTTCTAATACATTTTACTTATCAAAAAAAAAAAAAAAAAGACCACGAAAGATGTATTTTTTTCTTCTCTTTTCCAACATTTTCCTTAACAGACAAACAAAAATTCTGAAACAAATTTAAAAAAAAAAACATAACAGACGAACAGGAGAGAGACGATTCGCACTGGGAGCTTGACTCTAGATGGGGATCAATCGAATCTTCTGCCTTCGAGAGCTTTCAGTCCCCCTTCCCCCCCCCCCCTTTTAAAAGTATGTTGTTTTGGGTCAAGTGACTAAGTCCCTTTTTTTTATTTTTTATTCCGTACGATTGATAATTTGGTACACCAATCAGATGGTGACAAGTAAAAAGGGTACACCAATCAGATGGCTTCATTGAGGCGCGCCTTTGAAGGCCTAAGGATTCGCGCCTCTTTGAAGGCTCCTCACCTGGGCACCTCCTAGGTGCAATGGTTGCACCTTGAGGCACCTCGCGCCTTGACAACTATGCCAGATCCTGCAATAGCTTTAGCCTCGTGCACTATATTTGCGCTTTCATGTTATAATCATGTATTGTCATGATATGGGTCAACATGAACATGAGTGTTATTATGTCAAGGAAACATGATACCAGCACAACAACTATATTAACGATCTCTCACGAAGCTATTTATTTGTTCACAACCCAAGAACCCTCAATAGCACCATGAGGAAAAACAGAAGTGATGGCCCATGCATGATGAAAATAAACCCAAGCAAACAAAAGGTGAAGGCCCGAAGAGCCGAATGCCAACGGAAAGAGATAGAGATAGAGAAATCCCTTGTTAAAGAGGTAACACGACATGATCATCGTAAACCTGTTTAATAAATGGGTCTCCTAACAAGACAAGACACACATAATCAAAATTACATAGTATTACGGGCCTTTCTAACAGGAATACAACACCTTTAGTTAAAAGGGTCATTTCTAACAGAAACATGACACATTTAGTTGAACAGGTCTAATCCGGTTGGCAAGTAAAAATGAACATGACACATTTAATTAGCATGTGAATTCAGGCCGACACTATTACGACCCGAAGTCTAACCAAACCTAAACCAAAACTCTTCATCCCATGTTGTGTTAGCATGTCGTGTCAAGTATTGCCACCCCTAGTTTTTGTTCGGATACTATTACAAATATTGCCAACTTGTTTCTTTAGTGTTCAATGTCGGGGTTTTGGTCTAAAGATGTGAAAAATATACATTACGCTACGCCGGGGGTAGCAGTTATTGAATACCCCCGGCCAATCACAATACCTCATTTACCTTGATAATAGAATATGGAGTGTTGGGATTGGTCGGGGGGTATTCAATAATTGCTTCCCCTGGGGTACCCAATAATTTCTCCCGAAGATGGATGACATTTAGATCCAGAGGCAAAGTCCCATAGGCAATTTGGATGGTGTAATTGTTGATGCTTGGGGTTATGTTGCTGGTGCATTGTGAAGCATCTCTGTGAAACGGTATTGACATTTTTAGTCTGTTTGAACTTTGACCAACCTGTGCGTAAATGGTTGGAACCAGAGAGGAGGGTGGGATTCTTGATTGATTGAGATTTTTTGAACTAAGTTTCTAGAATTTGAAGGCTTGTACTGGCACATTTGTTTTTTTATTGCTCGTGAAGCTGAAAAAATGGCTTATGCATATGATGTCTCATGAAGGTTAAGCGGAGGAAACAAGTTGAGCAAGAATTGGGCATTAGCATTTTAAGATAGATGATGAATGATATGGAAAATTTATTACTGGTATCATACTTGGGATAAATATCGAGCTAGCTCAGGAAGTGTTAATTGACCTAACGTCTCATTTTTATTTATTTGGCGATTATGAGAGGACTGAATATTTACTTTCTTTTCATCCTGTTAGTAGTAGACATTGCCTGTATGTTAATCATTTTAATTGGGTTTTTGTTTGTGTATTACTGCATGTATTGAAATTCTGATGACACTCTTACATATGTATGCAGTTTTTTTACAATGAATTTTAGATTTTCCTTCTCCCTTAATCTGAGGATGATTTAATATGGAATTAACTTTTCAGCAATGACCTTTTGAATCTATCCTCTTTTTAATTGTCTTTGCAGCTGGAAATTTGTGCCTGGTCCCTACAACGGAGATAATTGATTTGATGGGCAAGCTCCTTTCAGATTCCAAGGTGAAGCTTTATAGGAATACACTGAAGATGCCGGCTTTAATATTGGACAAGGAGAAGATGACTTCTAGGTTCATTTCAAATAATGGTCTAGTGGAAGATCCCTGTGGTTTTGAGAAGGAAAGGGCTATGGTCAATCCTTGGACATCAGAAGAGAAGGAAATTTTTATGGATAAGCTTGCCACCCTAGGGAAAGACTTCAGAAAGATTTCATCTTTTCTCAGCCACAAGACAACTGCAGATTGCATTGAGTTCTACTACAAAAACCACAAGTCAGATTGTTTTGAGAAAACAAAAAAGAAGTCAGAGTCTGCAAAGAAAGGAAAATCCTATTCTACTAATAGCTACATGGTGACTTCGGGGAGAAGATGGAATCATGAGATGAATGCTGCATCCCTTTCTATGTTGGGTGCAGCTTCAGCAATTGCAGGTAATGCTGATGATGGTACAGAAGTTCAGCAGAAGTGTATGGCAAGGTTCGTGGGGACGTCTAGAGATTGTAAAACACCAGCAGGCGGTGATGGTATCCTAGAGAGGTCAAGTAGTGAGAGGGAAACTGTTGCTGCTGATGTGTTGGCTGGTATTTGTTGTTCCCTTTCATCTGAAGCAATGAGTTCTTGTATCACGAGTTCTTTCGACCCTGGAGAGGGCTACCAAGAATGGAAGTGCCAAAAGGTGGGTTCTTTAAATAGACGGCCTTTAACACCTGAGGTTACACAGAATGTTGATGATGAGACTTGTTCTGATGAAAGTTACGAGGAGATGGATCCTTCTATTTGGACGGATGAGGAGAAGTCTATCTTCATACAGGCCGTGACATCGTATGGTAAGGATTTTGCAATGATCTCACGGTGTGTCAGAACAAGATCCCGGGATCAGTGCAAGGCCTTCTTTAGCAAGGCCAGGAAGTGCCTTGGATTGGATATGATTCATCCTGTACACAGCAATGAAGGAATGGAGGATGATGCTAATGGGGGTGGGAGTGACACTGAAGATGCTTGTGTTGTGGAGACTGGTTCAGTTGTATGCAGCGACAAATCTGCGTCCAATATGGATGAGGACAAGCCTTTCTCTGATTTGAAAATAAACCTCAGTGAATCTGATCCTGTGGGGACCATGAACTTGCAGATTGACATGAAGAAATCAAAGGAAAACAATGTGACAGGACAGAAGGATTGTAAAGATCCCAAGTCTGGGTCAGAGAATTTGGTTATTGATGATTGTCTGTCGGGTAAGCTGGTGCTAGATTTTGATGGTGACTGCACTATAGAGAATGATGCCAATAGCAAATCTGTGACAGTTAAGGCCCATACCAATGCAGTTTTATTTTCTGATACAGAAACTGGACAAGATGAACCTACTGGAGATTTGTTGGAGGATGCAGTATCTCTTGAAGAGGGAAATGACTGTTGCCTGTCTGCATCAGGTGCTGAGAATGAGACGAAAGTTCTAGGTCAGGTTTCTGCTGAGCTTGTTAGAACAGGACTAGAGGAACAGCAACTATCACAACCTGAAAATAATTTGAAAGATAAACCAGATGAGAACAATAATTACAACGGAAGTGGCCAAAGTGGCTTAAATTGTGCCAGAGCGGATCCTATTACAATTGGAAACACTAACAATGTTGCTGCGGATGTGAATTCTTCTTCAGGATTTGGTGCTAATCACAAAATCCTGCATGAGGTTGCCCTGGAGTCAGATCCTACGCAAGAGCCTTGTGTCATCTCATTGCAGCAGCAAGATGGTTGTCTCGTGATTGCGAGTTCGGTACCTCGAGATTCTGTGGCTATCCAAAATGAGAAGATAGGAGATGAGCAGCGTCAGAAATCATTTAGCGCAAATGATGATTACAAATATCTGTCTGGAGAACAAGCAAGAGATCAACCGAGATCGCATTCACGGAGTTTGTCAGATGTAGAGAAACCAGCTTCATTTCAGAGATTCTCGAAGTTTGATAGGAATTTTTATTCTGAACCTTTTTTATCACGGGATTATTATTTTCGAAAGTGTAACAGTTCAAAAACTCAGAGTGCGAGGTCTGATGTTTCCTGCGTGTCTCGAGAAGAAGCAAGGGATCATCCGAGATTGCATTCGCGGAGTTTGTCAGATGTAGAGAAACCTTCCCGGAATGGTGATGTGAAACTGTTTGGTCAGATTCTGTCTAACCCCTCGTCGCAGCAGAAATTGAATTTTAGTGCACTTGAGAATGAAGATAAGAGGGTACAAAATCCTAAATTAAGCAACAAGTCTTCTAACGTGAAGCTCGGTACTCACAGTATGGATGGTAATTTAGTTCCAGCAAAGTTGGATCGTGATAATTATTTGGGCCTTGAGAATCTTCCCAGGAGGAGTTATGGTTTCTGGGACAGGAACAGAATAAAAACTGGGTTTCATTCTTTGCCCGACTCTGCTATCCTGCTGGCAAAATATCCTGCTGCATTTGGCTACGCATCCTCATTAAGGATGGAGCAGCAACCATTGCATTCGGTTGTAAAGGTTAATGGACATAATTTAAATGGTTTATCAGTTTTCCCAACTAGGGAGATAGGATGCAGCAACGGGGTGGCAGATTTCCAGGTCTACAGGAATTGGGATGATACCAAAGTACAGCCATTCACGATAGATATGAAGCAGCAGCAAGCAGCGTTAATTTCTGAGATGGAAAGAAGAAATGGGTTTGAGGCAGTACCAAGTATACAACAGCAGGGAATGGGGATGGTTGGAATTGATGTCGGGAGAGGAGGGATTCTTGTTGGGGGAGCCTGCAATGGTGTATCAGACCCCGTGGCAGCCATCAGAATGCATTATGCTAAAGCAGCTGAACGTTACGGTGGGCAGGCAGGGACCATCTTCGGAGAAGATTCATGGAGAGGTAAAGGGGGGAGGTAGGCAGGTAGTAGAAGTGCAGAGGGGACCTTTTGAAGAACACCCCCCTCCCTCAGGTGGCAAATCTCTTTTTTTACCTAGCTGTATAGTAGGTTTTTTTTTTTTTTTTTTTTTGTAACTTCAGTGCAGCAATGATAGGGCGATAGATGGTTTTAAATTGTGCCTTTTTGGTCAAAGAATTCTAGTGTTTGTAATATTTGTAGCAGCAGCAGCCTTATATTTGTTGTATTTTGGGGATACAGAAATAATCTGTTGTTGGAGTTTTGGGAGTTGGGAAAATTTAGTTGTTTCCAATGCATTCATCAATTTTACCATCATTGATGTTTTTGATATTTGAAACCTTTATTTTTTCACCCTCTCTCTTAAAACCCTAGATTTTCATAAATTTGTCTTTTTATTTCAATAATTATCAGTGTTCTTTTCATCAATAATTTTTAGTGCTTTTTTCTTAGCTCTATGTACTATTGGGATGTTTTGTACGATTTACAATTACTCGTTATATCAGTATTTATAAACCTTTGGAAAAAGAAAACCAAACCCTAAAAAGTGGTGTTTGTGTATGAGTGATGGCTCTACGGCTTCTTCTCCGCAGAAATCAATGGAACATAAAACAGGCAATTTGTTGTTGGTTTCAATCAACCACCGCCTCTGCCATTCTTCGCCGTCTTCTACCACCACCGGAACCACCACTTTAGGGCCTGACACAAGTTTCACATATCATGATAGAATTGCTTCCTTCGATGTACCGACATTTTAAGTGGCCATGTGAATTGATGATGATGATGATAGGCGGATCACAAACTTCTACGAGGCAAAAGGTTTCTCAATGAGAGAGAGAGAGCCTCAAGTTGTTGAGTTGGCGCGAGCTCGAGTCTCCTCCTACCACCACTCAATCTTCTTTGGACTCCCCATTTGGATCTTGATGTTGGGGAATAACATAATGCAATTAAGATAAAATAATCACAAAAAATAGCAAAATCGTTTGCTTACGTTTATGGAGTGCACCAGAAATTTTCACATGGGATAGCTCACTCTGCTATAGGACACCTTCCTAGGGTTTATACAAGACCTAGTAAATTATATGGAATACTTTTTGTTTAAGAAAGCTCAAATAAGAGCATTTTCAACTGTTATGTGTGTGTGTGTATATATATATATATATATATATATTTGTGTAAATCTCATGGTTAGGATGATTTACACAAAAATTTTGGATTATTTATTTTTAATATCGGTGGTTGTTTTATACCTTTTGTGTAAAAATATATCCCACAGGACCCCACATAATTTTTACAAACTTAATTAATATAAGGTTAATTCTTTAATGGAATGAGAAAGAGGGAGGAGAAAGAAAATATGTTGATATGGCTGTGTAAAAAAATTATGTAAAATACACAAAAATTTTAGTGGCGGTATATCTTAACGGACTACGGGAGATAAAAAAAAAAAAATTACACATCATACGTGGAAGTGTATATTTTACACAAAACGATATTTTAACATACTACTAGAGATGCTCAGAGAAAACAAATCCCGAATTTCTTAATAATGTGCGATCCCTTGATGAACTTCCATATTTTGATTGAAGCTTACATCAGCCTCTATGACTGATATTTACACAGCTAAGCTCGACCCTCCGATTGGGTCCACGAAGCAGCAACATAAATTAGGCTTTTGATTCAAGTTTCACTACCTCAACACTTTAATCTGTGATGTATGGTTAATAATTTAAGAAATGTCCGCAATTGGTAATAAAATAAGAGGGAGTAGACTTCAATAGTATAAACATTGACTGTGCACCCGTGAAAAAAATTTACAGGTATAGAAGGTAAGAGAGAGACATATCAAAATTAACATAGGATGAAGTTACCGGAAATGATTAGAAAAGAATATCAAATAAAAATTTGCGTGACCGACTTGCAATTAACATGGGATGAAGTTACTGGAAATGGTTAGAAAAGAATAGCAAATAAAAATTTGCGTGGCCGACTTGCAAGTTTCTTCTTTTTCGTAGTTTTATGTTGCTTTTTATTTTATTTTCTTCTTTATTTCTAAGTTCGCCCTAGTAAAATTTAGGCTTCATTTGGGTTAATCAATGGATGAATGGAGTTGAGTTGAAAATTTAAGCAAAAGATTGTTCATTGAAATTAGATGTCAAGGGGATAAGATTGCACAACTAGAATAATTGCGGGCATGGATTTGCGTGGACTCGCGGCTCTTCCTAATCACACTTAGTGATATTCTTTCTACATGTCTAAATTATTTTAATTAATATTTTTTCAATTCATCCCCAATTGGAGCTACTTATGAATGAGAAGTAGTGGCTTGGTACGGCCTAGGCCTAGCGGTACCAACCAAGCCCCTACTTCTTAAAAAGAGGCCAGGGGTTCAAGTCTCAGTAGAGACGTGTATGTGTGAGTGAGTACCAACTGAGAAAAAAAAAAAAAAAAAAAAAAATTATATCCTTTCTTGTCGTGACGCACATGACACTCGCATTTTTGCCACACTTGATTTATACATATGTTATTTCTTGGCCGCTCAACATTGTGTCTCATAAAACCAAGCTGCTTTACTAGTTGGTTTCTAGAAATTTATTTTCAATCGTAACGGGATACGGCGATCACACAATATATACAGGATGCACTCCTCCGTTTAACTCATTGTACCTCTTGATTGTACCTCTTGACCCTCAATCTGCGCTACTTCCATTTGTAGATGTACTAAAGTTACACTATATATTTATAATTATTCTTAGTTATTTTAAACCCTTTTAATTCTAGTGCTTCCCTCCAAACCTCTAATTCTTCACTTAAACTTTAAAGGGAGGATTCTTCACAAAACGGTAATTTTCTTTTTCTTTATGTTTTTTCTGTCAGTTTTAATAATACCCTCTATAAAGACCTCAAACTTTAAACGGAATTGTTGATCCAATCCAAGTAGGTGGAATTTTTTTTCTGTTGAGTTATTAAAAAAAGAATTCAAAATTTCAAATTATTGTTTCTTTGTGTAATATTGATCATCTCTAATGATATTTATCTTTTTCTTTGTGTTAAAAAAAAAAAAGATTTCTTAACTACAAAATTTAGGAAATTTGACTCATTATTGAAGTGGTCACTTGTAAGCATGTATAGATAAGTTGTTGATGATTGTCATGCTTGTGACCTTTTTATCTTTTTCAGGTTAAGATTGAGCTGTTGAACTGTCCCACATACAAGAATATAATTAATCAAATCGTTAATTAAGGTTATCTTGGACAAGGATCCCCACATACAAGAATATAATTAATGAAATCGATAATTAAGATTATCCTTTTATTGGACAAGGATCCTCTCCAACGTAGGAGAGGTCCTACATAGTAGTTGAGATTGCATTATCACTAGTAAGATCTTTTTATCAATTCAATCGCAATCATTGGATTCTGTGCCCTTTGATTATAGCAAAATACTTTTCATTTTACAGGTTTCAAGGACAGTATTGTCTTTGCACTAAAGCTTTCCCCATTTCATCAAAACTTAGGTTGTTCAAATCAGCAGCCATGTACCATGACAGGCATAAGGTAAGCCCATTGGCTACGTGATGATCTGAAATACTTTTGGTTGGTTATTAGTGGTAAACTAAGTAATGCTAAAGCCATGAAAGGCAGTTAAAAAACCTCCCCCTTATATTCTTAGGTTCGTTTGGTTAGAGAGAAACTAGTAATGGTAGAAAGTAAAAGTAAAAACAAGTGGATTGAAGTGAAGGAAAATTTTAGTTTAGGATGAAAATTTTACAAAAAAATTATACAAAATTACCATTTTATGATTTTAATAGCATGCAATTTACCATAAAAAATGCAATATTTGTAAGTTTACAAAAAAATTTAGAAATCAGAATTTTCTTGTGTTTTGTGAAAGAAAATTTTATAAAAAAATAAGTTATTTTGGAAACTGATTTTTCTTAAATATATAAAAATATTCTATTCCTTTTCTTGTTATTTCTATTTAACTAAACAAATCCACAATTCAGTATTTGAATTTTTGAATACCAATTACAGGTCCACACATCCCAACACAACACGTCCGTTTCTCTTCACAGCGAGGCAACACAACACAACACAACACGTGCTTTAAACCATTTTTACAAAAACAACAATGGCAAACGAGGCCTACCAAAAAAATGAAAAATAAAAAATTGAACAACAAAAAATGTGGAAAACAATGTGACTCTGAACTTTCAGCTCACAACTCAGGTGCCATTTATTCCTTAAAACGTAACAAATTAGAAATCACACTTTGATAATGACCATCAAGAAGAGAAAGATCCTATGATGGAGCAACTACATCAGGTTTGGATCGCCTTATAATGGTCTTGATGACACCTCCGTCTCCAGATAAATCACTTGTATAACCCATGTTTCCTGGTTGGTAAATAGAACAAATATGAAATGCAACCCATACAATTTGACAGAACATTGGCATGACAAGTAATATCATTATTAAACTATATTTAATATCCGGAACCATATAAATTTTAAAAAAAAAAAAAAAAAAAAAATTAGAGAGATCAACTTTAATTTTTATATAGAAAACAACTATTAATTAGTATCTATGATTTAATACCATAAATAGAGTGTTAAAAAAAAATTATGTAAAACATTACCATAAATAATTTTAATTTAATAGTATAATGAGGTTTTGCAAAAAAAAATTGCGAGGGCCATGGTGGATTTTTTTTTTTTTTTTTTATTTTTAATTTTTAATTTTTTGCCAAGAGTCATTTTGGTCAAATCAAATGACTGGTAAAAGGTTAATACTTTTATTATGGTTGGGGTGTTATTGTTCAAGTTTGCAAACTTGAGGAGGCCAATCGGATCACTCTCTCCCTAAATTATATCTACCTGTCTTTATTGCAAACCTAAGGGGTGTAAATGCAAATTACCCTAAAATATATTAATTGCAAAAAGAAGGTTTCAATTAAAAAAATAAAAATATGGATTTTTTTCCAAAATAACAAAAATATTTGAAGTTACCTTAAGACCGGATGCCAATAAAGAGGAAGCATTAACGTAACGGTAGTCCTTCTCCGAGTACAACACATTTTTAATATGTCCCTTCACGAGATAAAACCACCAAATAACGTTTATATCTTTTTCATTATGCAATATTTAGAATTCTAATTTATACAAAAACTCATTCAATAAAAATAACAATAAAAATCTAAAAGTAATTTAATTGCGTAGTTCAAATACCTAAGATTAAATGATAGTCATTAATAAATCTTCTTTTAGTTTAATATCTATAGATAAAAAAGAAAAAGTAATTTCACTTACATTTAACAATTACAAAAGCTTGGTAATTTCCTTGTTTTCTCAAGTAATCTTCCCCCCTTTCTCTTCTCCTGTGTCATTCTCCTTCTCAACCTCACCACCTTGCAAGTTTTTGAATTCTAGGTCAACAAACTCACTAAGTCACTCCCAAATTTTGTTGGTTGAACTCTCCCAGAGAGTCTCTTGCCCCGGCAACAACATTTTGTAGGTTGGGTTTTCTAAATTTCCAAATTGCGAGCCCGGTCTTTCTTGATTTTCCAGCCTTAGGCATTTTACTTTTAGGCTTTGCCTAATTTTCCCAAGTCTAGCTCGGTACAACATTTTCCTAACGTTGGGCTTTTAGTTAATAAAAAATCTCCTATTATGTTGACTTATGTGTAATTTTTTAATTTTTTATGTATTAAATATTAAACCATTTATTTAGGTCTTCAATAATTTATTTTTCCTTCATATTTTATTAATGCATAAAAGCTCGTAATTAGAAAAAAAAAAAAATATCATCATCTTTGTATGGTCTTTAGAAATTAGATGCACTATCTCGATTGCTCTTTCAGCCTTCTCTTGATTACCCAGGGAAGTAAAAGACTCACAAATCACTCTCTAAAAGTGAATTTACGAGCTATATTTCTCTTACAACATCGGCAGGTTCTTCAGAGCTTACTTATAGCCACCATCCCTTATCAATGAATATGAATAAGACCTAGATCCCATGGTTTGGTCAATTCCATCATGGATAAGGTTCAAATAGCATTTCTTTGTGCATCAAATAAGAATAACGCAAAATAAGACAAAAAAAAAAAAAAAAAAAAATTAAACTAACACAATTCAATGTTTGATTAGGGTTTTGTAGGGATTTTTTTCTTGATTTTTGATTTAAGAATTGAATGATCATTCGAAATGGTTCTACACCTACTTTATTTTTCTTTTTCCTTTCACATACACATATAGCACACTTAAACATACATTTTTCATTTTTTTGTATTGCTCTATCTTATTTGGCGTGGGTTTAAGATTTGTGGGGTGTGTGTCTATATATATATATATCACAAGGTGCAACTATTCTTCTAAAAAGAATATATCTATATCTACATCTATCTATACTATTCAAAAAGTGTAAGAATTTTCTTAATATTTTTTATTTTTTTTTCACATAAAAAAAAAAAAAACTCATTAAAACACAATAATTCATGCAACTATTCTTCTAAAAAGAATATATCTATATCTACATCTATCTGTACTATTCTAAAAGTGTAAGAATTTTCTTAATATTTTTTATTTTTTTTTCACTAAAAAAAAATAAACTCATTAAAACACAATAATTCATACCTCATTAATAATATAGATAAGGAAATATAAATGTTTATGTTTTTAATTGCATTTTTCTTGAAATTCCTACTTTAAAAATAAAATATTAAAAAACCATATGTATACTATATAATATATTTGTATATATATCTACATTGTACAAATAAATAAATTCATATGTATACTATATAATATATTTGTATATAATTATATGTTTTTAATTGCAACTATTCTTCTAAAAAGAATATATCTATATCTACATCTATACTATTCTAAAAGTGTAAGAATTTTCTTAATATTTTTTATTTTTTTTTTCACATAAAAAAAAAAACTCATTAAAACACAATAATTTATACCTCATTAATAATATAGATAAGGAAATATAAATGTTTATGTTTTTAATTGCATATCTCTTGAAATTCATACTTTAAAAATAAAATATAAAAAAACCATATGTATACTATATAATATATTTGTATATATATCTACATTGTACAAATAAATAAATTCATATGTATACTATATAATATATTTGTATATAATTTTATGTTTTTAATTGCATGAGTTACATTTATTGAAATACACACTTAAAATAATAAATAAATAAATCCATATAAAAAAATTCATATGTATACTATATAATAAATTTGTATCTATATCTACATTGTACTTAGATAATTTTTTATGCTTAATAGTCAAATGAAAACATTTGCTTTAAATGTTATAAAAATAATTTTTATGTTTTTATTTGCATGAGTTACATTTATTGAAATACCTGCTTAAAAAATAAAAAATAAAAATAAAAACACCCATATGTAATTTCTTAACAATTTTTGTTTTTCTTAAAAAAGTATTTTGTATATAATAAAATTATTTTCATTAAATGTTATATTAAATTTTTGGGTAATTACAACGACACTCCCTGAGGTTTGACATATTGACAGTCATATACAATTTAACCCCTTTTTTTGGACAAAGACACCCCCTGTGAGAATTTTGGTCCAAACAAGCCCTTAAAACGATAGAAAAGACGAGATTGCCCTTCAATATTTAATTCTTTTCTATAGTAAAATATCAGAACTCATGAAAAGTCAAATTTGCCCTTATATATATACACTATTACATCTGCTCCATCATATATAAATAAATAAATATATATATATATATATATATATAACCAAGTCCAACAGAAACCCATCGGCGGGGGAAGAACAGCGGCGGGCACCATCGCCACCCACCTACGGTCCAGCACCGTCACCTCCCATCTACGGTCCAGCACCACCGTAACTTCCACCCTCTTTCCACTGCAACGTCCACCACCTCTCTCCACTTCCACAATCTCACCGCCTCCTTCCTCCACCTTTGCCACCGCCCCCACCCACATCAGCCCACCATCTTGATTCACCGTCACCACCTCTCCCTAACCACATCTATCGTCGCCACCTCTCCCCAACCACATCTGCCAGAGGCAAAGAACAACCATGGATCCAGAATGTAAAGAAGACGTTCACCATACGAAATTCCTAAGTGGAAGATTGGTTTGGGGCAAATGAAGTTCGCATCCGGCAGTGAAAGATTAGGATTCTTAACATTTAAATCAAAAGCTCAGATTAGCGAGGGGGTCTGGATTTGCCATAGCTCGGTGTCAGGCAAAAGAAGCAAGAGATATAGATCCATAAATAACTCATCATGGAAAAAAAATTCAAGAGATGCGTTGTTCTGTCTGACCTGCGATTCCTTTGAAAACCATATGCAAAGAAAAAGCACAAACGCAAGACGATTCCACCCGAATTTGAGAGATAGCTCCTAGTGGCAGCAATATATATACATGTATGTATAACTTCAACTCTTCTTCATATTGTTTTGTTGTCTGAGAATCAAATTATATGATATGATAGAGATAGGAAGTGATTATTATTTCCCCAGTTGATCGAAGTTGAAATTACCGAGCGCTTTTTGTAGTTCTCTTTTTGAGAATCTAAGCCAGGATTCTGATCCATCAAAAAACCCCTGATCTATCAGCCAATTGCACAAAACCCCCCTGAATTAAGAATTGCCCCCCTGAATTATCAAAAAATTGCAGTTAAGGACAAATTAAAAAACTACTGTCACCAAAAATGTTAAATTACAAAGATAACCTTAGTGAGATGCTGTCGTTTTAATGTTTTAGTACCTGCTATTGCTGACGTTTCAAAAACAATCTCAACTACTGCCAAACACGACCTTACCCATACAGTTCTCTCTCTCTCTCTCTACGCTCTCCTTCTCCCACAGTCGACACCAACCAATCGCAACCTCCTACAGCCAACTTCCGTCGACCAGATGGGTCTTCAATGAAATTCTCGGGTTGGGTCTCCAAAGATGCTCACGAATTAGTCAGCCATGTTTGTATGATGCTCAAGCTTTGTCGCCTATCTATTTGTGGTTCACCGAAATAAGACTCACTGGTTTGATCGCTGTGATTGTGTCTGCAATTGTGTTGTTGATGCTTAGAGCTTCTCGCTGGCGGTCATGGATTTTGAGGTTGGCTTTCACTGCTCATTAATGCTTAGAGTTTCTTGCCGGCGATCATGGAGTTTGAGGTTGGCCGGTGAGAGCCCAACCTCAAACTCCTAACTTTCATTTTGTAGGTGAAATTGCTTCAATTTACCGTGAGAAGATGAAGCTATGTTGTCAAAGTCTCAATTATATGCCAAAATGATTCTCTGACAGTTTATATGTGTGTGAGTGTGTGTGTGTGTGTGTGTGTGTGTGTTATATGGGCAATATAAACCATTTTTCTGGAAGTCAATGTTTGCTTATTAGAAGATGAGGATGGCCTATCATTAATTGTTGGAGAAAAAAAAAACTAACAATTCTAGGGTACCAAAAGTAAACGAATAATTGAAAAAACAAGGTTTTTTTTTCCCAAATCAACATCATCACCTCCAATTCCAAAGCTGCTACGCCGCCTTGAGTTGTGCACATTATTGGGTTTGAATATTTGGGCAAAAAAGCTTTGTTTGGATAATTGAAGGTGATGATGGGTTGGTGTGGGCTGCGAAAAAGCAACAAAGCAGCTTTGGCATTGGAGGTGATGATGTTGATTTGGGAAAAAAAAAAATTTTTTTTTTCAATTATTCGTTTACTTTTGGTACCCTAGAATTGTTAGTTTTTTTTTTCTCCAACAATTAATGATAGGCCATCCTCGTCTTCTAATAAGCAAACATTGACTTCCAGAAAAATGGTTTATATTGCCCATATAACACACACGCGCGCACATTTCTGGAAGTCAATGTTTGCTTATTAGAAGACGAGGATGGCCTATCATTAATTGTTGGAGAAAAAAAAAACTAACAATTCTAGGGTACCAAAAGTAAACGAATAATTGAAAAAACAAGTTTTTTTTTTTCCAAATCAACATCACCTCCTCCAATTCCAAAGCTGCTTTGTTGCTTTTTCGCAGCCCACACCAACCCATCATCACCTTCAATTATCCAAACAAAGCTTTTTTGCCCAAATATTCAAACCCAATAATGTGCACAACTCAAGGCGGCGTAGGATTCCCGTAGCCGTGGCTGCCGGGAGAGGAAAAACATCAACGACAAAAGCAAAATCCAGAGATTCAATCCGTCAATGATTTAATTAAGGTTGATTTTGTGATTAGTTTGGTTTGATTTGCCAAATCAGGTCCCAAATCAGCACCAAGGTTTTGGGTTTTGAACTTGGTCACCGAAGAAGATATATATATATATATATATATATATATATATATATATATATATATATATATAACATATGTATTTTGTATATAAGGGTAGGATTGCCATTTATAATATACAGCATATAGGGACGGCCAAAAATTTACCGGAACAATATCACTTGGGTTTCTTTTGCAAAAATGAGGATAGTTTAGGGGGTTTTCTATTAAAAAAATAGTTCAGAGGGGTTTCTTGGGAGAGAGAGTAAAGTTTAGGGGGGTTTTTTGCATTTTACCCCATATATTATAAATTACTTTTCGAAAAAAAAAAAAAATAAAAAGTTAGAGAGAGAAAAATGGAGGAATAAAATCTTGATATTGATTGAAGGACAAAAGCGCCACTTCAGACAAATAGAGAATACAATCTTAATATTGATTGAAGGGCAAATTGGTAATTGAATGTGTCAAAGGACAATAATGTCAATTCACTATGGGTAAGGACAATTCGGGTGTCTTTGCTAACTTTAGCAAACCTCAGGGGCGTCATTGTTCAAAAATGGTTCAATTTATATATAAATGTCATTATAGTAAACCTCAGGGGGTGTCATTATAATTAACCCTAAATTTTTTTATAATTTTTAATTGCATGAGTTACATCTCTTGAAATACCTACTTTAAAAAAATAATAAAAATCTATATATATATATTTGTATATAAAATGTTAAAGTATGTATGATTTTTTTTTTCATATAAAAAAATTCATTAAAGCATAATAATTCATTCATACATCATTAATACTATATGATAAGGATATATAAAGGTATATATTAGATAGCACCTAATATTTTATGGAAAAAAAAAAAAAAAAAATTAATTGAGGGAGACCAAAAGAATATTTTTGATTTTTTTTTTTTTTTCATATAAAAAAGTTCATTAACATCTCATTAAATCACCTTATGATTCATACCTCTTTAACATTATTTATTTATTTATTAATAAAAAATCTAATAACATCTCATTAAATCATACCTTCCCAAATATTACCTAATTCACAAAATTCCAAACAAAAAAATAAAATAAAATAATGCCATTTTAAAAAAAAAGTTAAAAGATTCCCAAAAAAAATTCTAGAGTCTAATCCACCATATTCCAAACTATTAAAATGTAAGCCCCTTTTCATATTTCTTAACATTTACTATCATTTTTGTCAAATCAAATATAAAAGAGGTCTTTGATTATTATAAAATAATTTTTAATTAATACATTAATTTTTTTAAAAATTGTTAACTTCTATTCGGTTTGGAATTCTAAAAGGTTTTTCTTTTTTTTTTTTTACTAACAATAATTATACAGTAATTGTTTACTCCTTCCTATTCAGTTTGGAATTACTAAGACATCAAATTAATCACATTATTTTTCTGAATTAATCACATTAAAAAGACAAATTAGAATAAGGACAATATATATTTTTTTTTACGTTCTATCTCGGTGAAGCATATGACAATAACAAAGACCTTCCTATGGGTAGGTTTTGACAGAAAACGATTCACACACTGAATCGCAGCTTTTCCACCGAGAATAATATTTGCATCAACTCATTCCAGGTTCTTCAGCACAAAATGGGTATCGCTCTAGCAGAACTCCATTGAATTTTTTGAGATTCCCACATTTGATAAATCCATTGGCCTTGCAGAGTACATAGACAGTCTGCTCAGTTTCTTTGAATATAAGGTGAGGGCAGTAATAACGGAGCAGGCCAAGGCGTATATGGACCAGCTTAGCTCCGTGCCATTCATAAACCCTAATGCAGCTCTATTTATTGGGGTATCTAAGAGACGAGACAAAATTATAACAATTTCAGACATCACACCTCTAAAAGTTCATTAAATCCAAAGCATAATGAAAATAACGCATGCATATGAACTTTTTGACCAAAAAAAACATGTAAATTGAATAGCAATGATTTATTTAAAGGTTTTTTTTTTAATGGGTATGTTATATAGCAATGTTTTAAATGTCAATGACATAAAACATATCTACAAAACAGGGCTAACAACCTCAAATATGCAACGGTATATGGATGAATGTTATGCCTCAAGCTCAAACTTCCTTCTTGCATGCGTGCCCCCGGCAAAGCACATACTATAATAAGAGGTAGAAATTTATTGATAATTTTCTCCCCACCTACGGATCCCATACTACCCCCATAAACTGAAAATCCATAAACCCCAATTGCTATGGGAATGCCGTTTAGTTGGCCGATGCCTGTTTGAACAGGCTCAATTAACCCTGTTTTTATTTGATAAGAATATATACCATTCCGACCAAATATAAGATTTAAAAATAATAATAGTTCCTTGAGATTAGGGCCTAGGGGTGTTCGTGGTTTGGATTAATTCTAGTTATTTACTGGATTAGAGACTAGAACTAAATCAATCCTGGTCTATTCCCAAAATGGAAACAAAACTAGACCAACAGACTTATGAAATAATTGAAACAAATTAAAACAAGAAAAGATCAAGCTGGTTTCCTGTACAAGCAATATGATGTGTCCAAACAGAAAATTCTTATTGCACTGGAGCCAAGAAAATCAATTGATACACTAACCAAGTAAAAAATAAATTAATTAAAGTGATATACTAAGAAAATGAGACATTCTTTCTAATAGAATTAAAAATAAATAGATAGCAATGTGGCACTAGTAGAACAAGTAAAATGAGTTGCAAGAATTTACCTTTCTTTTCCGAATCTACTCAATCCAAATTGTTAACCAGCATCATTAAAAATAAAAATAAGAGACATAATATATTTGAAAACTTGATGTTAACACCCATTAATATTTTAACTTATAACTTATTCAAGATTAAAATAAGAACATTAATACACCATTACATCAACAAGATGCATAGACTTGTTGTAACAAGAAAATTTTCATTTTGAAGATGCAGAGGCAGACAATATAAGGTTCATGGATTTGTAACCCAAAAAAAAAAAAAAAAAACCGAAATAACAAACAAGATAGTAGTGGATCTTGGGGGGGGGGGGGTGGAATCAACCAGTTTAGCTACAGAGTAGCAGGCCTGAACAAAGGAACAAAATCAACTCCAAAACGTTTGATAAAGTCAATATAATTAAAATGATGTTTTAGATCTACAACTTTGGGATTCAGATCTATAACTAGCACTTGCGAAGAGAGTAAGAGTAAGAGAAATAGAAAATTAGTACCTTGGGTCTCTGTTTCAGACGACGTCGGAAGCGAGATCGGTGAGCTCCGTCGGCTTCCACCGTGCTCCGGTGAAAATTGGTGAGGTTGAGAGAGATGAGCGGTTGGAATGAAAGTGGGCATTGGAGACCATCGGACTAATGTTTGCTTTGTGGTGAAGATAAGAATAAGCAGCAGCAGAAGATGGATATATAGAGAGAGGGGTGTGAGTGGGTGTGAGTGTGTGAGAGATTAAATAGTCCACTCCTGAAAACAACATACCCGTGATAGTCCTTTTTCCGTGGAGACTACGTGAGACCATGTGGTCTCTGCACCATCTGAAAACAACTCACCTCCTTCTTTGGGATCCAAGGTTTTGAAATGATTCAAAATGGTACTCAGACAAGTTTTCATTAGGAAAAGATAATGAATGACGGGTCATTTGGAAACAAAATAATTAGGATAGTTTTAAAAGATGTTTTTGTCAATGGTGAGAGTACATCCGACCCTGGTGTATATTTTTTAAAAATTTATACAAAAATTTTAAATTATTTATTTTTTTTGTCTCAATTATCAATCATTATAGGTTCCGGTCATAATGATTCCTTAAAAATAAAATCGGAACCGTCATGTATGGAACCGAACCGGTTCGGTTCCGGTTCTGTTAACGGTTCCTCACTTGGTTATTTTTTCCCTTGTTCCTTTAAGGCTCGTTTGGATTGAGGGATTTAGAAGGATTTGGAGAGAAAAGAAAGGGAATGATAGGGATAGGTGTGTTTGGATAGAGGGAATAGAAGAGAAAAGAAAGGATTGGAGAGAAAGGGAGCTAATGACAAATCCCTTCAATACAGTAAAACAAAATCCAAAATTGTGATACCCCTGGATTTTCGAATGCGGGTTAGCCAGGCCCACGCCCGAATACCCGAGGATATCAAAACAAATTGATAATAAACGAATACAGAGTACAAAAGAATAAAGAAGAATAAATAAAATGCTGACAAGAAACTAAAATGATAATCTAATAATAAACCTCAGAATATATTTCCATTAATTAATAAACTTTTCTGATACAATTGATCCTCCAAAATACAACTCGGGAATCCATACTGTGTGGACCCCTAGAAAATTCAAACAAAACAAATGACAGCAATAACTATCTAAATCAGGAAACTGAATCATAAAGGAACTCCTATGTAACATCGGAAGAATGAAGTAGACTGATCCCCGCTCAGAACGAATAACCTCTACTCCTGACGAACACCTGAAAAATAATGGTGGGTCAGGCCCACAAACAAATTCTACTCTACTACAGTCCAAGCAGAGATCCGATACACGTATACATCCTAGTCAATCCAATAGTAACTAGTAGTCCGTATATATATATATATACACACTAAAGGAACCTCACTAGACTATAGGGTTGTCTCAACCTGAATAATAGGCAACATGCAAAATGCACATATAGTGGGCATGAGTACTTAGACCTACCAGGGTACACAACTACACTATATCTAGCTACACATCCCTGACGATATACGCACCCAACCACTGATCCTGAGACTCAAGCTCATATCATGGCACCATACTTATATATATATAATTTAGTAACCATCCTATTCAGTATAAATTAATCCTCTATAAGTCATTCAACTTGTTCAGCTGACCTGACTTGAATATAAGTAGGACTTAACATTTTAGTTAATCCATATATAATAAATTAATCCTCCATAAGTCATTTAACTTGTTCAGCTGACCTGACTTGAATATAAGTAGGACTTAACATTTTAGTTAATCCATTCCCTTATATAAAATAGGTAGGACTTAACTGATAAGTTAATCCGTCCCTAGAATGCCACCGTCCCATACCGGTGCATTAAACCACGCAATCTAACAATTAATGTAATAATTAAGGAAATATATCGAATAATACAGAAATAATTATGATAATATGATATCAAGTTATCACAAAATATGAATGACTTATTATTTATTTAAGTTTCCTATATCATATGTCCTACATAAACTGATTCTTATACATATGATGATATTTTATTATACAATCAAATAAGCATTCTCCATATCCAATTCATCCTACACATTTAATCTCAATTGTTAAAACATATTAAAAGATTAAATTCATTCGTTTGTTTAAAACATTCAAATAGCAAGCATCATTATGATTGAGTCTATTTAAATTTATTTAAACCCAAACCTAGTTCCTATTTAATGTTCAGGAATCCTAGGCATGTTTCTACGTTCCATCATTCCATAGATATGAAAAATACATAATTTAAACATGTAAAAATTTATACCGGAAATCAAATCAAAATCATACATTTATCAATTCATAACACAAGAACAGATATGAACAAAATTCATAAAACCTATGTTCTAATCCAATTAAACATGCATAATTATTTAATTTTATGTGTTTAATAAATCCTGTAATTTCCTAGGCATGTACAGAAACAAGAATCAAAGGGAAAGAGATAGAAGAAGAATTTGCCTTAAACTTTCGGATCGAAAGTTAAACTTCTTTTTCCTTGATCTTCTCTCTATAGAGTTTTTCTCCTCCTTCCTTCTCTAACTCTCTCTCTCTTTCTAGCATATATCACGTGAATATTTCTAACTCCCTTTTACAACCTATAACTATATATTTATAGGCTAAATAAAATAACCCTAACCCTTTTCCCAATCCAAGTCAACTTAAAAAAAAATAAAAAATAAAATATTAAAAAAGTAAGTAAAATATGTTACGTATATAATTTATGTATATCTTTATTAAATAAATAAACTATACACATTTTATTATTTATTAATAGATTATCCAATAATACTTAAGTTATCATAATATTATAAAGTAACTTAAAACATAATACGTATCAAATCTATGTATATTTTTTATTATTTAAATATAAAACATATACATCAGATTAAATATTATTACTCAAGTTACCATAAAAGTAATTAATAAATTACTTTCCCTTTTATGTATATTAAAAAGGTAAGTAAAATATATTACGTATATAATTTATGTATATCTTTATTAAATAAATAAATTATACACATCCCATTATTTATTAATGGATTATCCAATAATACTTAAGTTACCATAATATTATAAAGTAACTTAAAACATAATACGTATCAAATCTATGTATATTTTTATTATTTAAATATAAAACATATATATCAGATTAAATATTACTACCAAGTTACCATAAAAGTAATTAATATATTACTTTCCCTTTTATATATGTATATAATATATATCTATATATATACATGCACAACTATCCATGGACAATAATCCATACACATCCAACCTCCTATACAAGTAGTCCATGGGACCCAATTAGTTGGCCCATTACTACTAACCATAACCATAAAAGAAAAATAAAATAAAATAATAAAAGAAAAGAAAACATTTAATTTACAATTAATCAAAACACCATTTAAGCACATAATCTAATTAAACAAGTAATACTTAATTCAATTAAACACATAAGCAATTGGTCAAATAATCAATTAAATAATTAAAAATACAATTAAAATAAATAAATAAATACCGAGACTATCCTTTTAAAATTAGGGATATTACATTCTTCCCTAAAAATATAATTAAAACAAATAAATAAATACTGAAACTATCCTTTTAAAATTAGGGGTATTACAAAAATTGACAAGATTTGGAGGGATTTGGAGAGAAAGGGAGCTAATGACAAAAGTATCCCTCCCATTGATGCTGATGACCATAAGCTTCAACGAATTGGCAGCTGCAGAGAGAGAGTTGATTACATAATCAACGAAGAAAAAATTTAATAAGTCAGAAATATATATACATATATATGTATGTGTATGAGACACGAAATCCAAACATATATGAATTTGTATATATTTGATCAAATTACAAATAATTGAAGCGAGAATTACAGAGAATGAAACAATTCAGGATCGTTGGACTTACGAAGATTGAACAATTAGCTTCGAATTTTTGTGCTAAGAAATTCAAGTCGCGAACGGCCTATAGATTTATGATCGAAAATCTAGCAACGATTTGGAACAATTCGAAGGGTAGATTGCGGTGAAGGAAAATACAAAACCGAACAAGATGGAGATTTTTCGAAACGGTCTCGTCAGATAGTTTTTAGCGAGAGAGAATTTTTTTTAGAGAGAGAGGGAGGGGGCAAAAGAGGAGCAACTATTACTGCGCCATGTGGGGGTATAATGAATGACGGTGAGAGAAAGAGAGAGAGAGAGAGCAAGTTCAGATCTGTGAGAACGATAATTGAGAGAGATAGGCGATTGGGAAGGCTGAAATGATTTACCCTACTAACCCCATCAAAAGGGTAATATGGTAAATTCATTATTATTCTTTCCTTTCTTTACTCTCTTTTGCGTTATCCAAACAACAATATTATCAATTCTTTTCTTTTTTCTCTTATTTATCTAAACATGAATATAAATTATACCTACCCTTTCTTTTCTCTCCTGTGTACCCAAACGAAGCCTTACTGACCGGAGAAGGCTGAGAAGTTGTCTAAAAGATGGAAACAGAGTTATAGAGAAGATGGAAGCAGAGAGGATAGAGGAGAGGAAGAGATGAGGGGAGGCGACGGCGAAGTGGCCAACAGAAAGGAGTCAAGGACTGATCACTTATGACTTGATGAGGCGATGCGAGGGCGAGACGGTGGCTTCGATCAAATTTCAGAATAGAGAACGAGAGTTAGAGATGAGGCTTGAGAGCATTGAGATTTGAGAGATTTGGTTTGATATTTGAGTTTTTGATGACTACACCACGTGCAATGTAATGATACTTCTTGACTTATCTAGTCAGCTGTCAGCACAATTCACAAAGTTAAAAAATCGAATTACTATGTATTATTACAGTGGAAATCATCTCTAACATATACATACACACACACACATATATATATGTGTGTGTGTGTGTATGTATATGTTAGAGATGAGACTTGAGTGCATTGAGATTTGTGAGATTAAGTTTAATATTTGAGTTTTTGTGGACCACACCACGTGCAATGTAATGATACTTCTTGACTTATCTAGTCAGCTATCAGCACAATTCACAAAGTTAAAAAATTGAATGACTATGTATTATTACAGTGAATATATATATATATATATATATATATATATATATATATATATATATATATATACGGTTTCGGTTCCTAACGGTTCCCACAGGCTAGAATCGGAACCGGAACCGTGAGAACCGGAAAAAATGATTCCGGTTCTGGTTTCACGGTTCTGGTTCTTTTGTGCACCCCTAAATCATTGCATGAAGTCCACATAATTTTTATAAACTTACTTAATATAAGATATTCGTTAATGGAATAAGAAAGAGAAAAGAGAAATAAAATATGCTGGTGTGATAATAATTTTACACATTGATGATGTGA